TTGCTACATTGGAGTGTGAATATGAGAGAATCTGAATTGTGAACTGCGATGTCTGATAGTTTGGGATGATGGGATGGATTGAAGATGGAAGAGGTCAGAGCAGATTCAGAGCATCTGAGGAAACCGAAGAAGGCAAGCAGGAACACTGATTCTCATGTAGAATCAACCATTGGGGATGAGAAGCCTGAATGTAGGGTACGGATGCAGGGGCTGAGTAAGTTCGGAGGTGAGTGGTAGGTGCTTAATGGGGATGGTAGGCTCCTTTTTTTGTGCCCTTGATTAGCATGGTTATGTGAGAGTGGGCGACAGCAATGGTGTTCTGGTATCCATGAATATAAGCTGCCCTGAGAATGAATTGATGGTGAGGTGAGATTAGTGTGACAGATTAGAATGAGATCTGCCTTTGTTCAGGATTTCTATGACAGCTGTGTTATCTGAGTGTATGAGTATAGATTTTCTTGACCATTCTTGCCCCCAAAGTAAGGCTGCAAAGACTGGGATTTCAAGTCGAAATCCCAGTCTTTTAGTTCTGGAGGCCAGGTGGAAGCAAACCATCTCCCCCTGTAGTAGCCTCTGAAATCTATAGAGGGAGCTGCATCTGTGAACAGTTGAATGTCTTCTGATTGGGTTATGAAATTATCGCAGAAGAAAGAAATGCCATTCCAAGATGACAAGAAATGTTGCCACATGTTCATCTCCATTTTGCATGCCTTGTCCTAGACCACTCTCTCATGGTAGGAGGGGACTGCTGCAGCTTTCATTAGGAGATTGGAAAGGAAAGATTTTGCCTAAGGGATGATTTGGATGGCATAATTGAGGTGACAAAAGAGGACCAGTAACTGGCGTTTGGTGCATCTATCTGCTTGGAGATAGTTAGAGGAGAAGGGTGATGCGCTGTATCTTTTCCTGAGGTAGAGATGCTTAGAGGGAAACTGAATCTAGAGTAATACCTAAAAACTCCATTGAGGTGCTAGGCCCTGAAGTTTTTTCTTTTGAAAGAGGTATGCCCAACTCTGCAAAGCAGTCTGTGAGGGTGGTGAGTCCAAACTTGGGAGGGGATGATGGTGGAGTGACAATGAGGAAGTCATCTAGGAGATGTAGAATGAATGGGAGTCTGTGATTGTTAGTGAGAATCCAGCACAGTGCTTCTGAGAGGGAGTCGAAGATCTTAGGGCTGCTTCTGCAACCAAAAGTGAGACACACTGCAAAGTATTAGGCTCCTTTCCAGCAGACACCAAAGTAACACCAGAAGTTGGGGTGTATGGGTAGCACTCTACATGCGTTTGTGATGTCTGCTTTGGAGAGCTGCAAAGCAGGGGGTGTGTGATCACAGACAACATCTTGGTACTATTTAGTAGCAGCGCATTCCCATTGTAATAACCCCCGTAAAAACTGTTGTTCAGGACTGCTTACTTGTGCTTTCTACCCATCGGCTACTGTAATAACTGTTGTTCTAGCCCACATGCAACATTTTTGTTCTTATTCATGAAACGCTTAAATCGGGGACATTTTTGGGGACAGCTTTTGCCTGGGACAGGTCATCCAATTCGGAGACTTACTTACTTAAGCCTTACACCCCTGTTGGGGTATAGGCCGTCGACAAGGGACCTCCAGAGTACACGGTCACTGGCGTTCTTTTCTATCTGCGACCAGGTGCATCCCAGTCTCTTGGTGTCTGCCTGGAGATCTCGCCACCAGGTGTTTTTAGGCTGGCCTCTGGCCTGAGGGTTCCAGTTCAGAGCCTACCTGGTGGTGTTTGACTCTGGTTTGCATAGTGTGTGCCCGATCCATCTCCATCTTCTTCGTCCAATTTCCCCGGAAATCGGGGACTTCTAGTTACCTTATGCTAAAGGCTAAAAATGGCAGGTATTAAACCATATATTTTTGACCCCGAGTCCGAGTCTGAAGAGGAGGTGGAAGTTGAAGAAGAAGCCGGAGAGCGAAAGAACTAATTTCGGTGCTCCAGTGGTGTTTTCTCATTCATTCTGCCCAGCTTTAAGTTCATTTTCCCAGCAGTAAACCCAAGGAAAATGCTAAGGCAAATTCTGCTGGTGTTAGGTCTTTTGACATGGATGGAAGTGGGCCGCAGAGCTGAACTGGACCGACAATGGTTTGCGTCTCCCTAGACTGTCTTGTGTCAATTGTGGATGGATCGAGCAGCTGAGCTAGATCTACACAATTACCAGAGAGAATTCGTTGGTGTAGTGCCAGTGAGATGGGTGAAGGATGGTAAGTGGATGAGGCTGGTTGAATAGGTGGAGCAGCTGTGGCTAGTGTATAATTATGTACAGCAGGTGGAAATACATTTGGGTGTTGGAGAAGGGAGGGGATGGTTGATAGGCTAGATCAGTGGGAAACGGAAGGGGGTTGAGAATAGCCAGTGTTATGAATTGCTGGAGGGGCTCCTTGGAGAGCTGAGGAACTGGCTATGGTGGTAAGAGGGGGAACAGGAGCCGTATTGTTGTTTGAGGCTGAAGGTAGAGAGGAGAAAGGTATGAAAGGATGTTGTGCACAGGGATTTGGTGCAGCCTGCGAACACAGTGAAGTGAAGAAACCTGTGGTAGCTTGAGAGAAGTCAGACACAGAGGGAGCAGGCACAGGGGGCGATACAACCTGGTTCCCGCCAGGGGGAGGCCGATGAAGCGGGCTGTGGTTGAGGGAGCTGCTCCGTGACGTCACTCCTGACATTACTGGTGGGGAAGCAGGAAGCACAGGATTTTTGGCTGCTGTGGCTCTGGTGTTTGTGGAGGAATAGCCCTGCTTTGTTGTCGTTGCGGTGGAATGGAATGCCTCTTGCTTTTGAGGATCAACAAAGGCTGGCGACGGTCCAGTTGCTGATGTCGTCCTCAGTTCATGGGTGTGGAGTCTGCTGTCTCGGCGAGGCTTCGCTGTGGAGTGTTGAATTGCCTGTGGCTGAGTGGGGAGAGTGGCAAGGTGGGGAGCGGAGTAGGTTGCTGTGACTGTAGCTCCTATGGTCTACAGATCTTCTTGGTGGAGATGAGGCTGGGGATCTGTCGTGAGTCACTGGGATGAAGGTCGGGGAGCATGAATGTGTACGGCATGGTTGTGGCTCACCAGGTGAAGGATGATTAACCTGGAACAGTTTGTTATACGGATCTTCTTCTGGGTCTTGCAGCTGGCAGCTTCCACGGTAAGTGGCTGATTATTACCGTTTCTTTTAATGCGAGCGTTACTGCTTGGTGCACGGTCTGTCTGCACTCCTCAGAGAATTGCAGACAAACAGAGTGTCGTGGGCTGGCTGTTTATAAATATGCTAGCCAGGTGATTGAAGGCGTGGTAAGGTGTCGTCCTTCTCCTGAACCATAGTTAATACATTAACTTCATCTGTAATCTCAAACATTTCAAAGCTTTATACTTTTCTGCCTCAGTCATTTAGAAATTCCAGCACAAACAGAAATATTTTCTTTCTCTGTGTCTCACAGTTTTCTGAACACTGTGGATATGTTCAGCATATGCCTCACAGCCGAGGAGCAAACAGGGACTAAAGTACACGCCATCAGAATCCCTTCAACAATTGTCTCCCACCATTACCACCATATGGATCTACAACCCTGAAGGCTTGTGCCATCCCTGTGTGAATCTGTGTGTGAAGGAAAACTGCTTATGTGTGCGTCTGTGTGCTCTGCAAGGTGGGCTGCATAGATGTCAGTTTTTTTTACACTTGGCACAGCATGGGTTGACTTCCACACACACACACACACACACACACACACATACTGGTTTCCATGGTTGATGAGGACCAATGTTTTGATCATTACTTCCGGGGACCACCCTTTCTAAAGGCTCTGGAGGACTGAAAAAAATCAAGTAGACTAAACAGAGGCCTGTTAGCTCATACACAACTTCAAATGTCTGAATTGATGAGTTGATGTTGTCCCCATCCTAAGTGGGGACCTATAAAGAACCGGTTGAATGTTACTGATGGGGACTAAATTTAAATATCATTTGCATAATTTTGCATTTTTAACACAACAATGGTCATGATTATTGGGGACTTAGCAATAAATGTACTATTATTATATCTAAATGTAGTAAATCCTCTGGTTATTGCATTTCTTTTTAAAGTTTAATGTGTGGATGGACTCTAAGCAGGAATAAAAGATACATTTGTTGCAAATCAATCACACAACTTCGTTATTTTGACTAGTTTCAATATGTAAATAAAGAGGTGAAGTTTGGGGTCTGAAAAGGTTTAAGTGATCCAAAGGATCACTTTTGCAAAAGTCTTGCTGTATATGTTGCCACCTTAAGAGCTTGTTAAGAGATTGAAATGTATTCATAGGTCTAATGATATCATCTGTATCATTAAAGTAATATTCATAAATAAGGTAAAGACTCTCTATTCTAATGAATAATTTTAATACATTTTAACCACAACCGCCCAGCTTTAGCCCCAGCTCCTCAACCTCCTGACACCTTGTGTGAAATCAGCAAAACTACCCCTACCAAATGAACTTCGAGGCACCAGAATTTTTTAAATGGCAACACTCAATTTTTAATGAATACAACTCCTGAAATAAATCCAACACACCAACAAAAAGTTTGGAGTCAAATAGATAACAAAAAAAAAAGAAAAAAATCTTAATGCCTGAGTTCTGCAAAGTGATTACATCACCATCATTCTATCATCAGTGTGAATTTAAGTAGACACCCAACAATATCACATTTAGTATAAACTCACTCAAACTTCTAACAATTTCAAGTCTTAATGCCTGAGTTCTCCATAGGAACTGAAAATGTGAACTGTGGACACAAAAGAAGGTCTTCAGTAACCAGATTAAACAAGGAAAAACATCACTCAGCAGACTGAGAGAAAAAGGAAAAGTGTGGAGGGTTTTACGCTTCCTTGCAAATAACTAACTGATTTTAGTTGGCACTGAAACACTGAACATACAGTGCAGAAGGAGGCAGTGTGTTCAGTGTGATCCACAAGTGAATATTAACAAAAAATGACCTACCGTAGGAATGGTTATCTCAAATTACTGAAGTTGCACTTTCCTTTTGAAAGCTGTAATGCGGTTGTACACATAGAACTTTACGTTCTGCCAGGTGCGGTCCTTCAGAGCTTCTGGTTCAGCACTTAAACACTTCTGACAGTCGCTTTTGGATGGTACAATGCAGGATGTAATGAATCTTTTCAGGTGCCTTTCCACCGCCTGCACCTCTCTCTGTTGCCAGGGCATTTTCTTCTGTTTTTTCTGGGGAGCTTTGCCTTGAGGCGGCCAGAAAAACAAAATTGTGATTAAAAAAGGGGCAAAGAAAAATAATTAGTGTATGCCATTTTTTGTAGTTATTTGCGCTGATGAATAGAAATACATTTTCATCTGTGTGATTTCCTTACATTTATTTCATGCCTGAATGTAAACAGTAAGGACTGTTTTTAATGTAAATAAAATAATTTTCAAAAAGTTCAACTCTTGAAAATAACATTTAGTTCATGAAGCTATGAACTTTATTGTTTCTTATTGAAATAAATGTGATGCACATTTTGTACAAGCACTCCTGCATAATTGTTATTACTGCATTGGGGTTATCCTCTAAAATGAATTGAAAAAGCCCTGTATTTAACGGAATAAGCATGAAACCCTTGACAAGATCCTAAGCTTTGTAATCTTGATATTTCTGTGCAACTAAAGCAAAACAAATCAGTTGCAACAGTGACAATTCTACACCAAAATGTTTAAATCAAAATAATTATTAATTAAAACAGCAAAGACGAAAATCAGGTGTGAATTCAAGCAGCTTAGTTACCTTTGGAGGAAGGCTTCATAGCCCCACCTGGAGGTACCTCATCACCTGGTGATGGTGGTCTGCGTCTTTTGGATGCTGACTGCTGCATTTCACTCTCTTCTGTAGGAGGACACAACCCCTCTGCTGATGGTTCTATGGACAAAGACCAAATTCCACATTTTCAAGAAGTGTAGAGAAATTGATATTTATTTATGAATGTCAATTATATCATCTCGTTGAGCACACATCTCCTCAAACTCAGAGGTGATGGATAATCACCAAAATTTGTGTAGTCTCTCTCCATCTCTTTGTGAGCATGTTCAGAGTATTTTGCAAAAAAAAGACAAAGTTCAAGATTAATTTGACATGACAGTGTCATTTTTTGCCAAGTTTTCTATAAAGAGTGAATTTCTTTTGGCCCATGATAAAAATCTTATGCCATGACAGACCCAAGTAAAGATTTCTTGATAACTTACTCTCCCTTTCAACTGTCAGTTAATTAAAAGATTGAGATGGGGGACTAACAATTTTTACCAGAGGGTTAGAGTACAACTAGTGTATTAGAATAGCTGGTAACTGGTATGTCATCAGTAATTAACTGACAAGACATACCTTCAACAGTAGAAGTTTCCCCCTGGATGCTCCTGTCATCCTCTTCTTCTTCACTGTCAAGAACTTTTTCTGTGAAAGTAGTACAGAGTACATTCTTCCAATGTGAATTAAATAATCTGGTAAACAAAGCAAAACAAAAAAGTCAAATAAAATAACTTACCATCTGGCTCTATCCTTATTTCATCTAAGTTCTTGCCATGAAAGTCAGATAATCTTCCTTGCTCAAGTGCCATTAGAACCTTGCTTATCTTGGCAAGCTGTAGGGTCTTTTCAGGGAGTCTGTAGAACTCTCGGTGGATTCTGATGTCATGGCCAAGAAAGTTGGCCAGCTGGTCCATCTCCGTATCTGTCATGTTAAGCACTGTCGAAAGAGTTGCAGCATGCTTTCGAAGTCTGGTCGATGTCAGTGACCTTGGACACTTTGCATTGCACCCCTTTGCAAAGCTACGGAGGCAGTCTGAACCTCGGAAATGTGACATTGCTCCTGGTCTTGCGAACATATAACAGTTTTCATTTAGAACCCCACAAGCCTCTCTCTGTTTGACAAGGAGTTCCAGTAAACACAGCATTTTTGGAGTCAGAAGTATTGGGACCGGCCGACCACGTTTACCTCTGATGACAATCCTTGAGAAGTGTCTGCACAGCTTTTTCTCCACTTCAGAGAGTGCCCAGTCCACATCCTCATGTGCATCAGTGGAGTCTCTTGATAAAAATGCCGATAAGGGCATGCTTGACACCTCACCCTCCCTGCGACGGTTAAAGAGAATAATCTGGGCCAAACACACCTTTGCCAGCTCCATCCAGGCTCTTGTAGAGGGACTTTCTGAGAGAGATTTGTGCCACTCATCTTGCATTTGACTGAGATAAGTGTGCATCTTTTGGACATCTTGGGTAAAGGGCATAAGAGTAGGGACATTCCACTTTGCTTCCCTGATGTTTCTCAAGGCAGTTGCTGAGATCACTTCATTCCACTTCTCCTGATGCACCTCTTGAAACCCACTGGCATTCTTCACAAGCTCGTTGTTGTTGGATATTAAACCCTGAGCTTTTAATAGTTTGCTTGCTTTAACCAGGGCATTTCCAAGTTTGATAGCCAGTGATGGAATGAGGAACTTGTTTGTGTCACTTTCATACCCACATGTAAGCTTGACAGCTTTGACAGTCTCCATGTACTTCTCTGGATTGATGAGGTCCTCCATTTTGTTTAATGTGGTGCCTCTCCTGGCACTCTTGATTAACCTTCCCAATTCTCGCATCTTCTCTCTCACATTCTGTTTATTTTTGTCTGATGACCCACCTTTGTTTAGCAAGTGTTGTCCAATATCAAGAATGACTTTGTCATTTTTTATGATGTCAGTGATTGGGTCAGGATTCATGCTACTGATTACTTCCCACAGTTCTTTTTTTATGTAGGAAGGCACAGGTTCTGCATATTTACACATGGACTGGACACGGTTCTTTCCTGGTTTGGGGGTGACTGATTCAGGTCTGAGTCTACATCTACGCATGTGTCGCCACAGGACTTTTCTGGTAAAAAGTGCTTGGCAATATGCACAATGCATAAAGTCCTTTCCCTCTAACTCTTCAACTGGTCGTTTGAATGCAACAAGTTTCCCCTTTCCTGACTCCATGACTGCAGCATTGTGTGCAAAGTTCCCTTGGTTGCGAATATAATCTAGTTGTAATTTTCTTTTCTTGGAGCCCTTTGGAAAGCTTAGAGCTTTGGCTACACTGGATATATCCATATGTGCAGCCTCTAGATGTCTGGCCATCTTTGCATAAGGCTTAGAGCAATACAGACAATAATGTCTTTTGTCATAAACTCTTTTCCCAGCTCTCTTTTGGCATGCAGTAACAACTATCACGTCATTTATGTTCTGGCTTGAGCAAGGCTCTTCTTCTGCTCCAGTGGCTTTGGATGGAAGAAAGAGATGGTCTGGCGTTGTGCTGTCAACTTCAGGGGAGCTCACTGGGTCAGGAACATAAGTTTTGTCAGCAAGAGACCTTTGAGTCTTTGGGCTAAGGTGAAGGCTAGTATCACTATCACTGTCACTTTCGCATGTGGTATCTGGAATGTAATCATCTCCACTCTCAGATGCAGAATCATACAGTTCAGCAGAATCTTCAAGATTTATGTCTTTCATCTAAAAAAAAGAAATGTAATTCAAAATATGTAAAACTTTCAATTTGGTTAACAAACAGTACAGAGAAATATTCAAGGGAAACATATGTTATGGACTGATTTTGTTATTTCAGTTTTGGAAAGCATGTACAATTATGCTCAATTGCTTCTTTACAGTGTTCACTAAGACAAAACCTCTGCCAGGTCTTGGTAACCATGAGGCCACTCAGTTATATTTGCACACAACTTTGGCCTTGACAAGAGACAGGTCTCTCACTTAAGTGAAAAACAGCCAAAGATCCAGACTAGTAACATTTCTAAGATGCAATGAGACAGGTGTCTACTCTCATGTTTTAAACACAGTTAGATTAATATTGCATATTCATGATCTGACTTTAAACCTTACATCAAATTTGCTGAAAACTAAGACAAAAAAAATTTCTTCAGAGATGTTTTGAATACTGAAATGTGGAATGTCTTTACATTTGCCATTTCCCTCAGCTTTGAGAAAAAGTCAGAGGCATTCAAGGCTCTCATATTTAATGACTTCAATTTTGAAACTTACAATGACACTTTTGGTCCGTCTCAACTTTGGCACAGAGATCTCAACGTCACTCTGAGAGGCGACAATCTGACAACAAAAGAAACTATAAACATCATATTTCCAATATAACAGAATATACACTTAATAAAATTGAATTGTCCCTTTACTACCAAATTTTTATCAGTGCAGTGGATATATTGGCAGTATGGCATTTTTTTTAAGGCTGTGTTAAGCATGTAAAAAGCTAGTACATTACAGATAAGGTGCCTTGATGTTTATATTAAATAATATATGCAGGATTTTTCTATTGACCACAACAGGCTTTGTGGGGACACTTCACACACTAGATTAAGCTGCCTTGTGGGGACCAGATGTGTCTGAATCTGGTCCTCTACCCAGAGTGAGAAATTACTCAAAGTGTCTTATGGGGACATCGTAAGTGTTCACAATGTACTGAAAATTAATAAATAAGAAAACTCCAGAGCAGGCTCAGATTGATCTTGTATCTCATACAAACTACCGAGCTTCTACAAACTTTACAATTGACTGCCTAATTCACTGGTTCAAACTGAATTTCATGATTTTTTACCCAATTTTGTCACTTTTTAGCTGTATAAGAAAAAAAAAACATGAAAGTAATGACATTTCCCATAGAGGATCAACAGGTGCTTCTAATTTAACCCTATCTTATTTTAAAAGAAAAGGTTTTAAATGAATTGAAAAGTTATATATATGACTCACCTGATCAGAGGTTTTATCCTGACCCATGGTGTCATCTATCAGAGCCTCCAGCTGGGTGGAGGGATTGGGGATGTCCACCTCCCAGTTGTTCAGTAGGCCCCTAGTCTCCTGTGGATACACATTACAAAATATTTTTGATTTAGAGAAATAAAAACTTGAATAAATTTGACATAACTACAGTATAATACACATGGAATCTTTCTAAAAACACAACAGGCTTTGTGGGGACACTTCACACACTAGATTAAGCTGCCTTGTGGGGACCACATGTGTCTGAATCTGCTTCTCTACCCAGAGTGAGAAATTACTCAAAGTGTCTTATGGGGACATCTTAAGTGTTTTTACAATACACTGATAATAAATCAATAAGAAAACTCCAGAGCAGGCTCAAACCAAAACCTGTATCTCATACAAACCACCAAGCTTCTATGTTCTTTACATTTGACTGCCCAGTGCACTGGTTCAAACTGAATTTCATGATTTTTTACCCTATTTTGTCACTTTTTAGCATTATGCGACATCAAATATGACAGAAGAATGGTTTTAATATGAAATGTAAGGTTATAAATATGACTCACCTGATCAGAGGGGCTATCTTGACCAATGGTGTCATCTTTGGTAGCCTGTGGCTGTGTGGAGGGATTGGGGATGTCCACCTCCATGTTGTGCAGTAGGCACCTAGTCTCCTGTGGATCAAATCACAAAAATATATTTGATTTAGAAAAATTAAAAAAGAATAAATTTGACATAACTACATTATAATACACATGGATTTTTTCTAAAAACACAACAGGCTTTGTGGGGACGCGTCACACACTAGATTAAGCTGCCTTAAGGGGACCATATGTGTCTGAATCTGCTTCTCTACCCAGAGTGAGAAACTGACTCAAAGTGTCTTATGGGGACATCGTAAGTGTTTACAATTCACTGATAATAAATCAATAAGAAAACTCCAGAGCAGGCTCAGACCAAAACCTGTATCTCATACAAACCACCAAGCTTCTATGTTGTTTACATTTGACTGCCCAGTGCACTGGTTCAAACTGAATTTCATGATTTTTTACCCTATTTTTTCACTTTTTAGCATTGTAAGACATCAAACATGACAAAAATTGTAATAAAATGAAATGTAAGGTGATAAATATTACTCACCTGATCAGAGGTGCTATCTTGACCAATGGTGTCATCTTTGGTAGCCTGTGGCTGGGTGGAGGGATTGGGGATGTCCACCTCCCAGTTATGCAGTAGGCCCCTAGTCTCCTGTGGATCAAATAACAAAAATATATTTGATTTAGAGAAATAAAAAAAGAATAAATTTGCCATAATTACATTAAAATACACATGGAATTTTTCAAAAAACACAACAGGCTTTGTGGGGACGCGTCACACACGAGATTAAGCTGCCTTGTGGGGACCAGATGTGTCTGAATCTGCTTCTCTACCCAGAGTGAGAAACTGACTCAAAGTGTCTTATGGGGACATTGTAAGTGTTTACAATTCACTGATAATAAATCAATAAGAAAACTCCAGAGCAGGCTCAAACCAAAACATTTATCTTATACAAACCACCAAGCTTCTATGTTCTTTACATTTGACTGCACATTGCACTGGTTCAAACTGAATTTCATGATTTTTTACCCTATTTTGTCACTTTTTAGCATTGTAAGACATCAAATCTGACAGAAGAATGGTTTTAATATGAAATGTAAGGTGATAAATATGACTCACCTGATCAGAGGTGCTATCTTGACCAATGGTGTCATCTTTGGTAGCCTGTGGCTGTGTGGAGGGATTGGGGATGTCCACCTCCATGTTGTTCAGTAGGCCCCTAGTCTCCTGTGGATACACATTACAAAATATATTTGATTTGGAGAAATTGAAACTTGAATAAATTTGCAATAACTACATTATAATACACATGGATTTTTTCTAAAAACACAATACACTTTGTGGGGACACTTCACACACTAGATAAAGCTGCCTTGTGGGGACCAGATGTGTCTGAATCTGCTTCTTTACCCAGAGTGAGAAACTGACTCAAAGTGTCTTATGGGGACATCGTAAGTGTTTACAATACACTGATAATTAATCAATAAGAAAACTCCAGAGCAGGCTCAGACCATAACCTGTATCTCATACAAACCACCAAGCTTCTATGTTCTTTACATTTGACTGCCCAGTGCACTGGTTTAAACTGAATTTCATGATTTTTTACCCTATTTTGTCACTTTTTAGCATTGTAAGACATCAAATCTGACAGAAGAATGGTTTTAATATGAAATGTAAGGTGATAAATATGACTCACCTGATCAGAGGTGCTATCTTGACCAATGGTGTCATCTTTGGTAGCCTGTGGCTGGGTGGAGGGATTGGGGATGTCCACCTCCGGGTTATGCAGTAGGCCCCTAGTCTCCTGTGGATCAAATAACAAAATATATTTGATTTAGAGAAATAAAAAAAGAATAAATTTGCCATAACTACATTAAAATACACATGGAATTTTTCAAAAAACACAACAGGCTTTGTGGGGACGCGTCACACACGAGATTAAGCTGCCTTGTGGGGACCATATGTGTCTGAATCTGCTTCTCTACCCAGAGTGAGAAACTGACTCAAAGTGTCTTATGGGGACATTGTAAGTGTTTACAATTCACTGATAATAAATCAATAAGAAAACTCCAGAGCAGGCTCAGACCAAAACCTGTATCTCTTACAAACCACCAAGCTTCTATGTTGTTTACATTTGACTGCCCAGTGCACTGGTTCAAACTGAATTTCATGATTTTTTACCCTATTTTTTCTCTTTTTAGCATTGTAAGACATCAAATCTGACAGAAGAATGGTTTTAATATGAAATGTAAGGTGATAAATATGACTCACCTGATCAGAGGTGCTACCTTGACCAATGGTGTCATCTTTGGTAGCCTGTGGCTGTGTGGAGGAATTGGGGATGTCCACCTCCGGGTTATGCAGTAGGCCCCTAGTCTCCTGTGGATCAAATAACAAAAATATATTTGATTTGGAGAAATTGAAACTTGAATAAATTTGCAATAACTACATTAAAATACACATGGATTTTTTCTAAAAACACAATACACTTTGTGGGGACACTTCACACACTAGATTAAGCTGCCTTGTGGGGACCAGATGTGTCTGAATCTGCTTCTCTACCCAGAGTGAGAAATTACTCAAAGTGTCTTATGGGGACATCGTAAGTGTTTACAATTCACTGATAATAAATCAATAAGAAAACTCCAGAGCAGGCTCAAACCAAAACCTTTATCTTATACAAACCACCAAGCTTCTATGTTGTTTACATTTGACTGCCCAGTGCACTGGTTCAAACTGAATTTCATGATTTTTTACCCTATTTTGTCACTTTTTAGCATTGTAAGACATCAAATCTGACAGAAGAATGGTTTTAATATGAAATGTAAGGTGATAAATATGACTCACCTGATCAGAGGTGCTATCTTGACCAATGGTGTCATCTTTGGTAGCCTGTGGCTGGGTGGAGGGATTGGGGATGTCCACCTCCGGGTTATGCAGTAGGCCCCTAGTCTCCTGTGGATCAAATAACAAAAATATATTTGATTTAGAGAAATAAAAAAAGAATAAATTTGCCATAACTACATTAAAATACACATGGAATTTTTCTAAAAACACAACAGGCTTTGTGGGGACGCGTCACACACGAGATTAAGCTGCCTTGTGGGGACCAGATGTGTCTGAATCTGCTTCTCTACCCAGAGTGAGAAACTGACTCAAAGTGTCTTATGGGGACATCGTAAGTGTTTACAATTCACTGATAATAAATCAATAAGAAAACTCCAGAGCAGGCTCAGACCAAAACATTTATCTTATACAAACCACCAAGCTTCTATGTTCTTTACATTTGACTGCCCAGTGCACTGGTTCAAACTGAATTTCATGATTTTTTACCCTATTTTTTCACTTTTTAGCAATGTAAGACATCAAATCTGACAGAAGAATGGTTTTAATATGAAATGTAAGGTGATAAATATGACTCACCTGATCAGAGGTGCTATCTTGACCAATGGTGTCATCTTTGGTAGCCTGTGGCTGTGTGGAGGGATTGGGGATGTCCACCTCCGGGTTATGCAGTAGGCCCCTAGTCTCCTGTGGATCAAATAACAAAAATATATTTGATTTGGAGAAATTGAAACTTGAATAAATTTGCAATAACTACATTATAATACACATGGATTTTTTCTAAAAACACAATACACTTTGTGGGGACACTTCACACACTAGATTAAGCTGCCTTGTGGGGACCAGATGTGTCTGAATCTGCTTCTCTACCCAGAGTGAGAAATTACTCAAAGTGTCTTATGGGGACATCGTAAGTGTTTACAATTCACTGATAATAAATCAATAAGAAAACTCCAGAACAGGCTCAAACCAAAACCTTTATCTTATACAAACCACCAAGCTTCTATGTTGTTTACATTTGACTGCCCAGTGCACTGGTTCAAACTGAATTTCATGATTTTTTACCCTATTTTGTCACTTTTTAGCATTGTAAGACATCAAATCTGACAGAAGAATGGTTTTAATATGAAATGTAAGGTGATAAATATGACTCACCTGATCAGAGGTGCTATCTTGACCAATGGCATCATCTTTGGTAGCCTTCGGCTGGGTGGAGGGATTGGGGATGTCCACCTCCAGGAAGTTTAGTAGGGTCCTAGCCTCCTGTTGATACACATTGTAAAACTATAAATTTTGATAGTGAATACTTATTAGACTTGATAAAAAATGCACTGAATTAAACACATGTTAAGAACACTTCACTGGGGGCTGAGATGGATGCAATGTACCTTTTGGCGAGTATGCTTTATGTGCTTATCCTTTGGGACATTGGAGTGGAGGGACTTGCTTGACCCTTTCACAGTTTCCTCAGCCACCTTTGAACATATTAATTTTTATGTATCTTGAATTACTTTTTTACTTCAGTTTTAAAAAATGAGCCAATCTTAGTGCAACATACTTGTGTTCGCCATGGGCAGTCAGCATCTCCATAATCATAGGTTATTTCTTCTCCCTCTTTAATGTCGTTCAGTGCAAACAAACAAAGGTGTGGGTTTCCGGTCACCTCAATTTTTTTCATCTTACAGTTTGGAGACCTGTGTTCATCATTGACCAGTCGCCCATATGATTCATCTTCTCTTGATGCATCAATGCTTGAAAAATCAAAACACAAGACAATGAGAAACTAAATATCACAGTATTTCTTAAGAAAGTCAAAACCCTTTGATAGTAGAGTGTCATCCTACCACCATGTTTTCCCTCTCCACTGAAATGCAAACATAAATGCAGCACATGATGGGTGGTAAAGTTTTCTTCTGCTGCTGTATTCTGCATCCGTTATCAAATCTCCCCTGTATTCAACAACAAAATCTCCTTTGCAAAAAGGAGTCTTTGCAAATACACCACGTCCTAAAAAAGATAGCAGAAACATTTAACAGAAAAGTGAGACCTTAATGCTGTGTATTAATTTAGACCTCAAGAGATAGTAAGCCTATACAAAGCTGCAATCTCTAGCTTAACTAGTTTATCCTGACATCTTACATCAAATACTTATGAGATGGCAATTGTATACATAAGGAGTAATTCACAAATATGTCCTGTCACCTTACCTTTTATTGCATTGATAAACTTCACCTCTAATTTGGATATCTTGTCAGACCTTGACAAAACATGATGACTGGCATCTTTAAGAGGGCTTATCCGTGGTGGCATTTCAAACCAAGGGATATATTTCAAACCTGCAATAAATGTAGTCACATTATGAAGGCTTTAATGGTATTAGATCTATATATGCAGAGGTGTTTTACATTTGATTTCAAAACCCAATTCAAACCAGTGTTAAGCTGTAAAGAACATTACATTAAATTTTAGTCTATTGCTGGTTTAGTGTGGACTATTTGTGAATTTTAGTCAGAATTTGTAACCATTTTAGTCACTGTATACATTAAAAAGACCAGTAAGAGTTTTCACTCATACAGCCCTTATTTCTTTCATATTATGAAAGGATGTCAAGGTCATTGATAATCTTTGTAATAGTTGTCAGACGCTGCCAATATTTTTTCCAACGATAAACTCTATAATTCATTTATTACTGAAGTCTTCTAGTGAATTTAGTCTCATATTCTACACAGTATTTACTAATCATCTGTTAAGTCATTACTCACTGCCCACTGAACACCCCAAACCAACTTCTAAATCTCACAAAATCATAAAAAATTACACTGTATCTTACTTCTAGAAAGTCTCTGGTAATTATTTTAATGATCTGGACCTAAATTTTGTCAAACTGACACTGGACAGGTGAAAACTTTTGATCCAACTAAAGGGGTTAGCTAAATAACGTCTTAGCTAGCTAACTGATGTGCTGAATGTCGACACTGTGGAAAAGCTGTAAAACTACAAATCAATCAGAAACCCCTGCTATGTCATTTCTTCTTTACTTCTGAAAATATAAAAGTCTGTAAAAACACCTGGCACTTACTGCATGTGTCTGAGATCCTGCACCATGCTCTCCGTTTTCCTGATTACCATCAGCTGCATTTCAACCGTGGCTCGATGTTACGTTCAGACTTAAAACATACTTGACTTCCTCCATGATGTCAAAATAAAAGCCACGGATAGGAAGTTGTATTCTCACGTCAGTATTTTAATGTTGTCATAATTTCCATCTAGAAACTCAAATTTCACTTTTTTAAAAGATGGAAATCGCATTTCGTTTGACTGTTTGAATTGTATTTAAAAAATACACAAATTACCTTAGTCAGACCTTTGTTTTTATATATGTGTGTATATATATATATATATATATATATATATATATATATATATATAGTATTGATACTATGAAGTTGGAGAAAGTTTTAATGCAGCTGAGATAGTTTTATCTGAAAGCTAGTTTTGTATCGTGAAGCTTAATCTTATGAAGAGAAACAATTAGCTTTTCTTGATGTATTGAACCATGAGCCTACCTATCACTAATTTTGATTTGAATTTGTCTCCTTTTTATTAAATTGTAACTGGTTAAAAAGATGTCTTAAAACATCTGAGGCGTTTAAGCTGAGTTATCCTAGTATTTATGGTCTGAATTACAAACTTTCGTGCAGTAGTAAAAAGTTTGTTGAACTTAGGTGCTTACCTTTTGCATCTCTGTCATTCCTTTGTAAAGAAATCCTGTGAGTCTTTGCATCTTCATCAAACAATCCTCTGTGTCCACCGCTGCACTTATTTCTCTGAAGACAACTTAAACACTCAAAATTATGTCGGCGATATTATTGTTCCTAATGGGGACTGGGAAGTAGGCGGTTCCTACCCATATTTGGAATATGTGTGTGTGGAGCCAACAAGTGCATTACCAGCCAAAAACTATAGAGGGGGCTACTGTGCATGCCACACACACACACACTAGTGGATAAACATGCTTTTTGGGCCAACTCTAAAAATCACATAGGCAACATCAGAGGAGCTCCTGCAATCATTTAAAAGGGTTTCCCTCATGGGGACCTCAATTTTGGTCCCCAAACTGCAAGAGGTCCCCATGAGGTGACTGTGTAAACAGACTTTTGTCCTCATGAGGCGATGAATACCAGAACACACACACACACACACACACACACACACACACACACACACACACACACACACACACACACACACTCTCTCTCAGCTTGTAGACATCACCATCCAAACACTCCTTGACGTGACCTTATTATCATGCTGTGTGATAGTCGTCTTCACTAGCAGCTAAACATCTGCTGGACCTGATGGTCAAAACCACATGCACACTAAGACAGAACACAGACACTGCTCTCACATCCTCATCCTCATCCCTGTGCACACACTCTCTCCACAAGATCACATGAAAACATGGACAATGTCATATAGTGTGAAGAAGCAGTCCAGCAGGGGGGGTTGATACAATTACCAACAATCCCCAGGACACCAGTTACACCAGAGTCCTTTAGCCAAAACCATATGGATCCATTTAATGAAGGCTAAGCTGATGACATACTCATCGCTCATTAATCCTCCTGGCAGTAATATTTGTGCACATGTTACTTATTCTTGACATGTGCAGGTTTTGCTTATCTAAAGAATAAATTATAGTTAAGAAATCCTGCAATGGTTCTAATTAAGATTCTTTGGACAGACGTGAATTCTTTTGACCTAAGAACTTAAAGACTAGTATGTAATCGGCCTTTTGTTAGCAAATTTACTCCAAACAGGTTATAGAGCCAAAACAGCAGAATGATTTTAGCTTAAGTTAATGTGGCAGTACTCCTTGATGTTCACCTCAACTCAACTCCTGGCAGCTTAGATTATGAAATTATAATCAATGAACTCAAGAAATGTGCATAATTCTGACTGTGTTTTAGCCTCATTCACCTCTTTTCTTTCAAACAGAAAACTGTTTTATTAATTTTGGTGCCAAAGACTCTTAATTTTAAATATGGTGTTCCTCAAGGCAGCATACATGGGCCTATTCTATTTTCACTGTACATGCTTTCATTCGGAAATATCATTGCTCATCCGCCACAACACTTATCTGTATATGTTTGTCTCACCACATGACCCAAGTACACTTTAAATCTCTTCTGTTCTGTTTTTAAACATCAATGTTTCAATGAGCAAGAACTTTTAAAAAAGTAAACCAGGAAACGACTGAAGTTATTTTGGTGCCAAAGCAGCCAGAGATTCTATCATCAAAGTTGCAAAATTAAGACCTTTTCTATCTCATAACATGATGAAATTTAAACTCGTGCTTTTATCACTAGCTACATTGATTACGGTACCTCATTCACTGTTTGCATAAAAGTCACCCAGTGAACTATAGCTCATTCAGAATGCCGCTGCCAGAGTTTTAGCCCATAAAAGACAAGAACAAGTAAATCCAACTTGATATATTTTACATACTTAAGTAAATCAGCTATTTGTATCTGGTATTAGTCAATTGACTGGCTGGCTAGAAGGCCAATAGTCTGCCTAGACTCCACCCCTCTGCCTCTTGCTGGGCCCGATATTATGCAGCATTTCCAATATGGTTAAGTTTTCACTTCAGACTTAGGTAACCAGATTTCTGTAATGAAATACAGGGACATCCATTAACATCGGCTGCATGATCACAGACAACAACTCCGTACTACTTAGTAGCAGCGCATGCCCCCTGTAATAACCCCCCCTAAAAACTGTTGTTTGGGACTACGCACAACATACTTACTCGTGCTTCCTACCTACTCAGCTACCATAATTACCATTTTTCTAGTCTACACAACAATTTTTTTCTCATTCATGAAATGCTTAAATCGGGGACAGCTCTCGCTGGGGACAGGTCATCCAAAACAGGGACTGTCCCCAGAAATTGGGGACATGTGGTCACCTAACTTTAGACACCTATGGGTGCCATTACTGACACCTATGCCCATGTTATATTCGGTCCGTAAGTGCTGGCCACCATCACTACATTAACATTAGTGGAAGTGTTGAACATAGTGTCATTAGTAACAGCCAAGTTGGCCATCTTTTGAGGCTTCATCAGTTATCGTCGTCACCAACCCATTTGAGGAACCTCGTCCTTTTTTGTAGAATAAGACAGTGTAACATACCAAAGTATAAAACTTAATAAGCTGTGTCAAAGGGAGGTCAAAGGCAGTTTAACTGTCCAGCTCCACTTTGCAAAAGGTCCAAAAGCACAGAGTGTCGAATGACAAACTTTTGTTTTCCTGTAAAATGAGGACTACATCCTCACTTGTTATCTGCTAGTGTGTCAGTCAGGATGTATCGAATCTTCAAAACTAGAAAAAAAAAAAAAAAAACACCAGCTGAAACTTTCCCCTCCTGAACCACCCTCTCAGCTTCACTCCACCAAGCACACTAGAAAACATAATTGACATTTCGTCCACTTTCTGCAGACATGTTCACTTTCTTCTCCCTCCCCACTGTTTCCTTTTCTTTGTGCTAACTATGGGCCCGAGAGATTAGTGACATTTTGGAGTAATGGTTCAGTGGAAAGACTTTGTTTTTTCAGCCACCAGGAACAAAGTGTTTCAGTGATATTGGTTTTTCTTTGGTTCCCTGATTTGCTCTTTTAATCCTCTGCTCTCTGCATCACAATCAGCCCACCTTTTTCAGATCAGGGGTGAATACCAGTGAGCAGAGGGAGGCAGAAACAGTCACACTTGGTGCAGGAGTTTGAATGAAAACACAAAGTATGTAGAGAGGTAGAGTCATGTTTTCTTTTCAGTCTTGATCTGAGGGCTGTCCCCATGCTAAAGTGTCCTTAGGCAAATGAACCACTGTTGGAAAAACACCTGTATACTGGTCAATCCAAGAGTTTCTGACTATTTTAGCTAACAACTTATGTTTATAGGTGATAATGGGTAATGCAGGATCCATATAACCTTTAGCCTTGACTCTAATAAGTGTCAATGACCTCTTAAGCTTCTAAAGTGTGTTAAGTCATTATACAGCTCATTTACATAGGTCAGGGTAACCTTAAAGACCATGTGCTCTATTTTCGTGCCTCGCCGGAGACGTGCCGCAGGCGCAGCGTAAGTCAGGTCTGCCGTGCCAACAAGGTGTTCCCAAGCACAATTTGGTATTTTGGTGAGCAGCGCAGCCCGGTGTAAGTATTTCCCCTCCCTAACTCAGCTCCTCCTGGTGGCGTAAGTCGTAGCGAGGGAGGAGAGAGGGCGGGGAGTGGGTTTAACACAGCCGAGACCTGTTTTCACCAATCACATAAGCTCCTCTCCTCGCCTTTAAATCCGCCAACGGTGAGGCGTATTACAACGTTTGTGAAGTAGTCAAAGAGATCAAGAGATGTCTGAAGACAGTAATGCCACACAATGGTGACAGAAGGCAGCTCTTCAACAAGTGTCACTGTAAGTGCTGCATTGGGCGTCCTCCACACTCTCTCATATGAGCACAGATGGATTTTGTGTGTGTAATGTTGGACCCACTGGTAAGACAAACACCCTTTTCCACAAATAAAGACACTCACATAAAGTTGCTCATATTCAAACCTCACGTGACAAAGGTGGGTTGAGCGCACAGATCACATCGTAAACTCCAAAAATGGCATTAAAATCGGAACCATCTGTGCGTAACTGACGCATCGCGCTCCGTGGCCTGGCTCTTTATTTCATAGATGTTGGCATATAAAATAAATTTGGCTCACAAAACTGAATATTATAATATTCGTATGTAGGCTTAAAGTAAATAACTCATCTGATCACTGAAACAAATCATCTGTTCAGCCGCTGCAGCAGCCGCTGCAGCAGGACGGGGAGAGGACACAGAGATATGTCCAGGTCGAGCTGCACGAGAAATAAGAGGAAGAAAGAAAAGGAGGGAGATGGATTAAATATCTTGTTGGCTTCATCATGTGTGTCTATTTACTAGATATTTAATTTAATTTAATGCGTTTTCAGCTGTGTTGCTTCGGTCTGGTTGTGTGTCCAAACGCGTGCCAAACGCGCTCATCAGATCAGATATAGATCAGAATATATCTATATAGATCTAAATGTATGTGCTGACTCAGATTATTAGTTGTTGTTAATTATTTATTGCACTGAAATGTGCCTGACACTGTGGAAACCTGCCGGTGAGGCATGTATGACGTATGCCGATACGCCACCAGTCTACCAAAATACTACTGGACCAGTTGTGCTCCACCTGCGCTGAAAGCTGACCAGGTTTGAATCAGCGAGCTGTCAGCGCACTTTATACGCTGGTGGCGAGCACAAAAATGTCACTGCACCAGCTGATTCTGTCGACACCTCCCCCTGCTGCGCCTCAGTCCACGAAAATATCAAACTGGCTGTACACCGGGCTCCGCCAGACGAAAATACAACTGCGCGGAGTCCGCCACCCTCCGCCTCCGCACCGGCGTACACGAAAATAGAGCCCCATGTCATTGTAATTTTTAAAAATGTTTCTAGATGGATCATTTTAGCTGTAAATTTTTTGTTGTAAAAAGTACACAACTGCAAAACCAAATCAACCAAGTTATTTTAATTAAACAGATTTTTGGTAATTCAGGTGACCACATAAATCCAGTCCCCCAAAACCTCCACTGGTTCCCTGTTCCCCAACACATTCAGTTTAAAGTCCTTCTTCTCACCTTAAAAGCCCTCCATAATCAGGCCTCCTCCTCCCTCACTGACCTGCTCCACCCCGAGGCTCCTTTCTGTA